GTCCAGGAGAAAACTAATATACTTACCAGTAATGTTAATGCTCACCCACAGCTCTTCTGGGAGGATCAAAATCGTTGAAGCGTCCTCCTTTGTTTCCTGCTGGGAGCTGGGGTCTGTCAGTCCTGTCTGCCATGAAGACCTGATGTGGGCCACCTTGGCCAAGTGTCCATCAGTATTGCATTTTCTTATAAATCAAATAATGACTGCATAAATCATAAATCAAATAGTTAGATTGCACTCTAATGGCCACCGAGTTTGACTCATAACTGACCCTTCAATGGGTTTCTCTGGATATACATAGAAAGGGAGGAAATCGTTTCTCTTTTTTCTGATTTCTCCCAGGGATTAGCTGGTGGATGTGAACTGCCATAGAGGCCCCACTTTACTAGCACTAGAATCCAGGAAATGATGGGGAGAGAGTGGTCTGGATCTACATCAGAAGTTAAGGAAGAGACTTTATATGGTCTTCTAAATGATTTGGGATTGATCTGAGGTCATTAAGGAGTTACTAAAATTTTAATCAGTTTGTCACAGAAACCAAATAATGAAAACCAGCAAAATATCCATCAGTAGATGAATGGGTAAACAAAGTGGTATATACACACAGAGTACTACTGGATTATAAAATGCTAAGCAAAATAACGGAAGAACAAGTGTGATCTCTTACAGAAACCAAATATTCATGGTTACCTAGTGCAGAGGGAAGAGGAAGAGAGTTTTTGCTCAGAGACAGTTGAGTTGATGTTAATGGTGGTAGAATGATTTGGAAAAGCATTCTGAGAATGGTTGCCCTGCTTGAAGAATGGGATCTCTGTCACTACTGAGCTGGCTTAAGTTCTGTTGTGTCTGCACCACACAAAAAATTAATGGGTTGTGGTGGTGGTTGTTATACGCCGTCGAGTCGCTTGCGACTCATAGCAACCCTATGTACAACAGCCCTAAACTCTGGTCTGTCCTGTGCCAATTGCACTGTCTCTGACACACTCATCCCGATTACCCCATCACTGAATCAGTCCACCTCATAGAAAGCTGCCTCCTCCTGCGCTGTCCCTCCACCCTCTCAAGCATGATGTCCCTGTCCAAGGACTGGTCCCTCCTTACAACATGCCCAACGTATGTTAGATGAAGCCTCAGAATCTTTGTCTCCAAGGAGCCACCCTCTTTAACCCTTTCCAGGATGAATCTGTTTTCCTAGCAGTCCATGGTACTCTCAATACTTTTCTCTAGCACCACAGCTCAAAGGCAAGGTTAGACTTTTTAAATGATCCCAAAATAATATGTAAGAATCCTCATTGCCATCAAGTTTGAACCGACGTATAGCTGACCCTCCAGTAAGTTTTTAGGAAGTTGTAAATTGCATAGGAGGAGATTGTCCATCCAACTCCATAGAGAAGCTTGGTGGACTTGAACTGCCAGAGATGCCCATATCACAAATCCCTAAGGATTACAGCAACAGAGCTCCCTAATATGTAAGAATAGGCAGCTCTATAATTTACACAGACTAGGAAGTTCATGAACATTTGTTTCTGTATAGTTCGTAGCTTTTCCAAAATGCTTTTAAAATATTTGTGAAAAGGAAATGAGGGTAGAAGGCCAAATAATGTTCGCTAGGGTTAGAATCCCAAGTCTGCCAATTAATGTTAGGCAACTTGCATAGTCCTATAATCTCTGATTTGTCTCCTCTTTAAATATGTTCTTTAATCTTACAATAAGGTGGAATTATAATGAGTAGAGTGAGGAGTTCTGGTGGCCTAGTCGGTAAGTAGTTGTGCTGCCAACCAACTGAAGAAAGGCAGTTTGAATCCACCAGCTACTCGACAGGTGAAAAATGAGCAAACTCCCGTAAGATTTACAGCCTCTGAAACCTTTCAGATACAAGTTGGTTCTGTTTGACAGAACTTAACAATATTGAGTAGTACCTGCCACGAGGGTCATTCAATAAGTGTTAGTCATAATAATGGCAGAAAAGCTATCCATTTGATAAAGCGTATGTCCGTTCCTACTTCACAACATTCATGAAAATGTATTCTAACTGATCTAAAGACTCAAAGGGTTTTTTTATATACACTATGGAAATACAGAGAAAAAATACATGATGTATATAAGGAATTGTGTTTTCAACCTTTGGGTAGAGAAAACCTTGAATAAGACTTATGTAAAATTTACAAAGAAAAATTGGTAAGTTTGAATATACTAAAATTAGAGATTTCTGTGCACAGTGCTGCTCCCTCAACCTTCCTCCCCCAAAAAATGTTAAAAGACAAGGGACTGACTATAGAGATTGTCCAGTGTACACATATAACGAGTGGAATGGTGGCAGGGTATGAGGAAATGCACTCTGCTAGGAATGCAAAGAGGCAAAACCTGTTCAGACAAATTTGGCAGCATCTGTTAAAGTATTGCCAATATCCTGTGAAGTCAATTCTACTTTATATGTGTACCACATATGTGATTTACACTAAAATAGCTTAGCATGGACTGTGATCTGAATGTGTTGAAATACATAGGTGCATAGGGAAGCATATGGGAGCATGTTTACCACTGTTTATTATAGAGGAAGATACAGAAACAACCTAAATGTCCTTTAAAAGAGTCTTTACAGTGGATGTTTCAAATACTTTGGTAGCTGTGCTATCAGGAAAGGTCAGTCTTGGGGGAAGAACATCACACTTGGAAAAGTTCAGGATCTGTTAAAAAAACCACAATGAGATGGATTGACACTACAACAGTGGGCTTACGCACAGCAGAGGTTTTGAGCCCAGCCTAGGATCAAGCAGGGCTTCATTCTGTCCTACGCAAGGTGGTGATAGGCCAGAGCCAACTCCACAGCACCGAGCAACATCCACCACTGTGTGCTCTGGTTCTTACCTTTTGTGAATTCTGGCATTCCCTATGGTTCTCTTCCTCTTCCACCATAGTACATGTGGGAGGGAAGGTCACTTGTTCTTTTAGTTTATTTGTCCTTTAAGATTTAAAAAAGTGATACCAAGACAATTACACAAACTCCTGCTGTGTGTGCCTTAGACAGTCTGGCCATTTGAGTGTGATACCAGGAACAGACCTCCAAGGAGAAATGATTGTGTATACAGCCTGTAGTAAAGAGGGTAAATTTAACTTTTGGTAAGTAGAAGGTTGTTGTGTGGTGGTGGTGGTCTGCTATTCTGCTGGCTCCCTAATTATGGCTCCCTAAGGTAGGATTCTCTAACACCTTTGAGGTATGTGGCTTACTTTGGACAGTGAAACATGAGTAGAGATAATGTATCATATCTAGGCAGATACTTAGAACTTCGCCAGTCTTGTTATATGCCATCTAGTCACCTGCAAATCATAGCAACTCTGTACAGGAGCTCCAAATTCTGTTCTATCCTGAGCCAGTCTCACTGTCTGGGACACATCTACCCCCATCACCCCAGTTATTGTGTCAACCCATCCCATCCGGGGTTGTCTTCTGCACTGTTCCTCCATCCTTCCAAGCATGATGTCCTCCAAGGACTGCTACCTCCTGGCCACATGCCCAGAGAATATGAGAGGAGCTTCAAAAGCCTTGCCTCCAAGGAGCAGCTTGGTTTTACTATTTGTTCTCTTGAAAGTCCATTGTATGTTCAGTTCTCTTCTCTAGAACCGCAATTCTTTTGTCAACGCATGCCCTTGTCCAGCCCATGAATGTGATTATGGCCCATGAATTTTGTATGGCCATTGCAACAAAGTGTCAAACTACCAGAGAAGTTGAGAAGGGTGTCTGGTGTCAGAATTGACAAAAAGTTTAGAGAGGAGATAAGTCTAACTTACACTTTATAGGAATCATCAGCGTTGGGCTGATATTGATAATTATCCATGTGAAGTTAAAATGTTTAACTCTATACTGCCATTTT